TCCGTAACTGGATGATCATAAAGACAGTTGATGGGCACTCCACGAAGCATGCTGAGGGACATGAGTGTCCTAGATGGAATTTGCCAATCCTGCATAACAGGAGAAATGTCTAAGGGCCCAATATTGAACTGGACAAGGATGACACAGTGTATGCCTTGTGTTCAATATAGACATAGGGGCAAAAGGGTAATTGTACAAACATATATTATCACGAAAAAGGTTTTGTCAGATCACATGACATTTTCGTGACTTGGGTAGCAGTGATGTGTTGCTAGATACCGCTTACTGTTTATTATGTTAAATATATATAATTTAATATAATTACCAACGTTACGAAATCCTACAGGGTCACACACATAAGGACAGTTTGATGAGAAATAGAGAAATCAAAGGAACACCGTAAGGTACGGTGCACTTAAGTGAAAAATAGAAATTCGGATAATATAATAATAATTATTGTTATTTTATAATGGTTATAAAATAATAATAAAATAAATATATTTATTATAATAATAGTTATTATAATAATATATAATATTATTATGGATCATGTGAATTAGGGTTTTAGCCCGCAGCCCACAAGAGAGTCTATAAAAGGAACCCTTGTGATGAAGTTTCACTTGATGCAATTTCGTTTTTGATTCTCTTTTCTCACTCAAATAATTCCGTTCGTAAGCAGCTAGCACTGTGACCGGAAGCTGTTCGTGTGGACTGAGTAGAGGCGTTGCACTTCATCAACGCTTGTGATCGCTGCATCAAAGATCTGAATCGCCACAAAGAGGTAACGATTCTATCACTGACCATGCTCATTCGTGAGGATCACTAAAGGAAAATTTTTGTTTTCCGCTGCGTTTAGATCGCAATTTTCCTTCAGTGTGTGCAATCATGTTATAATTCTTGAGTGATGAATTATTTGAATGCATGGGATTAAGATGCGAGAACGGTCTTAAGTGCATTTGGTGGTTGATTGCATATGCATCATTTAGTCAAGAGGCAATGATTGCTAGTTTCGTGGAGACTAGTGACTTGCCCCAAACCTAGAAGGGTGGGTTTGAAAGCTTAGGGAACGGGCTTTTGTTGTTATCGGTCTAGAAGGGTGGACCCGGTTTAAGTGTAAAAACCGAAAAATGATAACAAGTGTTGGTACCACATGGCATGAGTTGCATTGAGTCACATGATTAATGTGTATTGTTGTATGAAAGTATACTCGTATGTGAAGTATTGAATTGAGAATTATGGATGTATGCATGGTGAAATGTGCTTGATAATTATCCATATTTGTTTGTACATATGTTGTGATGTATATGATGATTAAAATGAATTGTGGTGAGAAATGTGGAATGTATGTGTTCTATACTTGTGTATGTATATATAGTTATATGCATTGATTATTATGATAATGTTTCTCACCCTTCTGCTGTTTTATAATGCTCTATGAGGCATTGTAGATTAGGTTGTTGGAGGTCTTTTGTGAAGTTTAGCTTCATTCTTTTGGTCGGTTATGCTCTGATATGTAGCACCGGGTAGTTAGGCTTGTATAGTATTCTTTTGGGATACATTTTGTGTATGTATCTGATGGTAAATGTTTTGTAAACATGAATGATATGGTGATGAAACAACTGAATTATGTATTTGTATGATAACATGTTTTAATTGATTCATATGTTTTAATCTTCCGCTTAATTTTAAATATTGAGATGTGGGTGTAAGGACTAAGTTCCTCTGTTGAACTACCCCACTGTTGCATGTCTTTTATAGAGCAGGTGTTGTATGTTATTTTGGTGAATGATGTGGCATACTTCTTTTATACCATGTTTTAAATTTACTCTGATCAAATTTTATTATGTGATTTATTTCTTTATTTGGGGGTATAGAAGGGGGTGTTACAGTTCCACTCTTGCCGGAGGCACTATTTGCTCTCTGGTCGAAGGTATTGAAGGCGGAACTACATTGTTTCTCGGTCCTTCGTTAGAACCATCTCCTTGAGAGTTAGGGTTGTTTGCCTGATTCATATCTGTCGCCATATTCCTAACGCTTCGTCTTATTAGTCTCTCTTCGTTTACAGCGGCAATTTTACCACTTCTCAGTAACATAAAACGAACTTTTTTATGAAAGACCAATAAAAATTGCAATTCTGCAAGTTTTGCTTATACTAGAAAATAAAACTTTAGCACTGTCCCACTGGGCGTGCCATTTTGTTTCCCTTGAAAAATGGAAAACAACCGCTGATCTTCCAAATCTAACTTTGGTGACTCACATGATCGATCAGATTGATCCTAGGACATGTGCTAAAGGTTCTTTATTTTAGAAATCTATCTAAATTTCACACTTCGACAATATTGCGGTAAAAGGTTGTAAGAAGTACCTATTCGAATAAAAGAGAAAGAGAAGATAAAGTTTTAGAAAGGAAGAGATCGAAGTCTTAGAGAAGGATTGAGGACGAAGATAAGTAAAGTGCATAGAGGAGAGGAAGAGGTTGCAAGAAAAGTAAAGAAAACTTTGTAAAGTTAAGCAAATAAAGTAAACTTCATTGAAAAGTAAAGATGATGTGTTTACATCACGTACATTCTCCTTGATACTCTTTTCTCTACACTCGGATACTTTGAGTAAACTTAGGAGTGACTTGCACAAATAGTAAATTACAACACACAGATTCTATCTCTAAAAACTCCTATTTATAATAGTAAAAAATAACTAACAATAACCACCTAAAGTCATCATCTTCCGACACATGTCACCGCACATGAAGTCCTTTATCCAACGGGTGCCACTTGTCCTTCTTAGTCATCAGGATATAAAACTACTCCCTCCATTATTTGAATTTCAAACACTTAACCGATCTCCAAATAGTATCTCGGTCGAAGACCAATCTCTCCAAAGTTCATAATTTTCTCTAAGTCCCCAAAACATCTCAACTTCCTCTTTCGAAGATCTCAAGCCTTTCGACAGGCTCTTTACCTCTAAATTAGAAGACTTTAATATTTTATTTAAATATTTTAATCCATAAGAAATGTCGAATTTATGAACTAACACCAAGTTACTTATAAAACCCTCCAAGTCAATGTCTAAAATTGTTGCGGAAAAGACCCCTACACCGAGCAACATGATTAGTCAAATTGTCGCGGAAAAGACCCCTACACCAAGCAACATGATTAGTCTTACTCGACCCATCCAAAGAGCATGTTAAATGATATTTAGATGATTGTCACATATATCACAAACATTGTTCCGCAGTTTCAACCAATTGAGATAAGAATTGGTAATGATATCGTTATAGAAAGTTTTACAAATAAAAGAGTAGATACACTAAGACACATAAAGATTCCAAATAGAATCCCACAAAATGAAGGAACATTCAAAAGTAATTGTTAAGATTAGAATACAAACTAGAAATAGAAAATTTTTCAAAATTTGTACCTACCAAAAACAAGTATAGAGGTGTCATCCGAAGCCAAAGGAGACGGAATGACGCAGACTTTTTAAAAATAAACTGAGAAAAAATTATGCATAACAAAGGCCAATTCCAACAACCTTAAAAGTTAGTGAGGTCAATCACAGTACGAATATTCAAACGGAAAATAACTTGTTGATGAACATGCTCTTTAAGGAACACCCCTGAAGCAACCCACACATTATTAATGATACAAAATGTAAAATATAAACAGTTTCAATTACTAGACTAGATACATTTATTATATCTCTTAATTAACTTTAATTAATATTACTAATTATTTAATTTAGAATACAAAAGATCAATATTATTAATTATATTAAAATATACACATTAGTTACGATATATATTCATCATACATCTAAATATGCAACCGATATTTATAAAAAAGAATATAATGAAAAATGTATTTTTCCTTTTTCAAAAAAATATTTTAATATTTTTATTTACCACCAAAACTAAAAATAATATTATATTACACTACTTCTATATAAGCAAATAAATAAATAAATAATGTAGCCTAAACTTCATACAATAATGTTGTTTATATTTTATTAAAGAGGAAATATATCTGAAATAAATAGACAACATATGCCATTAATCTTTCTTATACACCTTTAAAAATGGTTATATTTCATTTATTCTAAAATATAAGTAGTATTTTAACCCAAAACAATTATACTTTAAATATAGCTTTACTTAGAATGCACAATTTTCAAATTATTTATATATATTTATAACATTTGTTAATATATATATATATATATATATATATATATATATATATATATATATATATATATATATATATATATATATATATATATATATATATATATATATATATATATATATATATATATATATATATATATATATATATATATATATATATATATATATATATATATATATATATATATATATATATCGACTCTTTTTAATTAGTTTTCTGAGTCTTGTAAAATCATAATATATGGAAAAAAAATTTAAAAGATTTAACGTTAGATAATGTTTAAGGTTGAATTCAAACTCTGATTAAGTTGAAAATACTCTATCATTCCATTTAAGTGCTATTGAATTACAACTCAGTTTTATTTTAAAATATATTTTTTTAAATTAGTCTTTCACATTATTATGAAATGATAAATTTAGTATATTTGTTATAATAAATAAATGATAGGAGTAATAATAGTAAAGGAAATAATTTGCTCACATAAATGTTGATTAAAAATTTGAATATTATCCTGAAAAAAAAAACAATTTGAATACTATACCGACCTATAAAGTGAATATTATTTTTTATTGAAAATAAATTTGATATTATGAGAAATTAATTTAATCTTTAATCAATATTTAAAGAGGTTACTTAACGTAGATGACGTTTTCATTTTCAGACAAAGAAACTTAAAAAAAAAAGACATGCGTAGCGCAGTCAGAGGAATAAAAAAAACTCATATTCCATTTCCCAACTCGGATTCTACCTGACTCAGCGCTTACTCAGTTGACTCGTCCCTTCACCAAAAATCCAAAACTCATCCCAGCGAATATGTCGTCACCGGAGGGGAAACGATTAGAGGAAGAATTATCGTACCCAATTCTGATAGCAGAACGAGTTCGCTCAGCGATAGAAGAAACCGACTCATTCAAACTCGAGTGTTCCGAAGTCTGGAAACAAGTCGAACGCCTCCTCCAAATGCTCCGAACAGTTGTCCGATTCGCCGCCACTTCGCCGCTTTACGAGCGTCCCGTCCGACGAGTAACCGCTGATACGGCGAAGAATCTAGAACGCGCTTTGACTTTGGTCAGAAAGTGTAAGCGCCGTAGCATCCTCCACCGTGTTGTTACCATCGTTAGCGCCGCGGAGTTTCGGAAAGTTCTGAGTCACCTCGACGCCTCCGTGGGAGATATGAAGTGGCTTTTAAGCATCCTCGACGGTGAAGGTGGTGTCAATTTGGCGCTTCCTCCGATTGCGAGTAACGACCCTATTCTTTCTTGGGTATGGTCTTTTATTGCTTCGATTCAAATGGGTCAATTGAATGATAAAATCGAAGCGGCGAATGAACTTGCTTCATTAGCACAAGATAATGATAGGTATCAGAAGATTATTGTTGAGGAACAAGGTGTTCCACCCCTTTTGAAGCTTCTGAAAGAAGCTGCTTCACCTGCTGCTCAAATTGCAGCTGCAACTTGTTTGTGTCATTTGGCGAATGATTTGGAAAGGGTTAGGGTTATTGTGAATGAAGTTGGAGTTCCTGCTGTTGTTCAGGTTCTTGCCGAGTCGCCAATTAGGGTTCAAACCCTAGCTTCTAATTTAGTTGCTAGGATGGCTAGACATGATCCTGTTGCGCAGGAGGACTTCGCGAGGGAGAACGCGATTAGACCGCTTGTTACGCTTTTATCGATGGATACTACTGTGGATGAGCAGCCGGGTAATAATGGTAGGCAGAGTATTCATTCTATTTTTCAGATTAATAAGGAGTTAGGGAAGAGAACTGATTATATGCCTGGTAATAGTAGTAAACAGTTTTCGAATTCGTATTCAAATTCCTATCATTATACCGAGGGGAGTAGTCGTGGAGGGAATTATAGGAAGGAGAGGGAAAATGTGGATCCGGTTGTGAAGCTTCAGCTTAAAATTAGCTGTGCCGAGGCGTTGTGGATGCTTGCAGCGGGGAGTGTGTCGAATAGTAGGAAGATAACTGAGACGAAAGGGATGCTTTGTTTGGCTAAGATTATTGAGAAGGAACAGGGAGAGTTGCAGCAGAACTGTTTGATGACTATTATGGAGATAACGGCTGCGGCTGAGTCCAATGCTGATCTTCGACGTGCTGCGTTTAAGACCAACTCACCTCCTGCTAAAGCTGTTGTGGAACAGCTCTTGAGGATAATCAAAGAGGTTGACAGTCCGTCAATGCAAATTCCGGCGATAAAGTCTATTGGTTCATTGGCTAGAACGTTTCCTGCTAGAGAGACTCGAGTAATAGAACCCCTTGTAGCACAACTGAGTAATAGGGACATGAATGTAGCAGATGAAGCAGCCATTGCTCTTACCAAGTTTGCGTGTCCTGATAATTTCTTATATATTGAGCATTCTAAGAAAATAATCGAATTTGATGCAGTCCCAGCAGTGATGAAGCTTTTGAGGAATAACGATGTTAACCAGATGTATCATGGTCTAACTCTCCTTTGCTACCTTGCACTACATGCTGGAAGCAGTGAGTCCTTGGAACAAGCAAGGGTGCTGTTGGCTCTAGAGGGTGCAGATAAAACGATTCTTCCTCAGCATATAAGGGATTTGGTATCCAAAGCAATTGTCCACCTCAATTTGTATCATGCTGGAAGGAATTCTCAACCATTGTCGTATATGCCTTGAGCACAAATTCATCTAGTTTGCAGCGGAACCTTTGTTTTAACAGGTTCATCGGTTATACTATTGAATAGGTTGGATCTTGCCTACTGGTTGGGAATTGAGGGGGGTTTTATTATTATGTAGAAAAGAAACAAAGCATAGTTCAAGAAAATTCTTTAGTTTTTTAGCTTGGGCTGGTTTTTATCCCTTTTCACCTCATGAAACTAGTTAATGGGGTGGAGGTTATGCAGAGATTATGTATAATGGATAATTTACTCTTAGTGATTCAAATTTGTTTTTGTGTACTTATTTTGTTCTTCAAATATGTTCTCTACATCACACCTTGATAGTGCATGTTTTTATGGTAGGATAGAATTGTTTGAGGATTTATTCAGTTACAGAATGTACAGCGCGACTTTGCCATTTGATGTATTTTAACCAGTTTACTGTTTCTGATCTACCAATGGTCAAGACATCAACTGTGTATTTTTTGTTAACTGAAACGTGCTTTGTTCATCGGTTTTTGGAATCGTATGTTGACAGATAAAATTCACCCCCTCGTAATAGCTTGATGACCAATGTTGAAGAAGACAATGAAGACGATATGATCATTGTGGGATAAACTTCTTATACAAAACCAGGAATTGGTCATTTTCCTTTTATGTCTACTTGTATTGTATGCAGAGTGAACTTGGGGAAGGCCAGATATGAAAGGAGATAGTTTGCAGCAGAGTGAACTTGGAGAAGGCCAGATATGAAGGAGATAGTTTGCAGCTGACGTCGACATTCTATTGGTTTGTCTTAATGAGATACTGATAATTTTGTATTTTTAAATTATTGTATATATGCAAAATAAATACTAGTATTAATCAATGATAGGTGAAATAACTTAAAAAATAATAATTTTGAGTTAGAATAATGAATATTTGAACTTTTGGATGTGAAAAAATGTGAATATTTTTTGTAAGTGACCTATCACTCCACATCTTGCCGATAAGATCCCTGTTTGAATTTGTTCTGAGATCTATGCAAGACCCATAAAGAAAGGTTTGAGATCAAACCTCGAGAAGAAAGACGCAGAAAATTTTGTCATCTAGGATATCAATCATTGTTTGATCCAATGTGCTGGTTGTCCGCACAACGTGCCGCATTACACACGAGCAGTTTCAAATGAGTGCCCCAACCTCGAAAAAGGAAGTTCAAAAACTTAACGATATGCTAATCGCCTTAAACATGTTCATCTCATAATCTTCCCAGCATGCATTACCATTCTATAGACTATATAGAAAAGAAGCAAAGATTAAATGGACACTTGATTGCGAAAGAGCATTCGAGTCACTGAAGAAGGCATTGGCCACACCAGCAGTACTCACGTGGCCTCTCCTTAGAGAAATCATATACCTGTATGGCAGTCTCGTAGGCAGCGGTAAGTGTTGTTTTGATTAGAGATCAAAATTCCAATCAAAGTCCAGTATAATTCATATCAAAGACTCTAGCTAGATCTAAGACGCACTACACGAAGATAGAAAAAAAGGCTTTGGCGTCGGTAAGCGCGTCGAGAAAGATCTAAAGGTACTTCTTTGCCGATTCTATAAATTTTTAGACAAGCTTAGCTTTGATACAGGTACTTCAATGACTAGATTTGGTCGGGTGTTTGAGAAAATGGTCTATTGAATTGTTGAAATTCGAAGTATCTTTCAAAGCGAGGAAGGCGTTAAAAGCACAACTATTTGTTGCTTTCTTAGGTGAAATGACTCCCAACCTGTCGAAGGTGGCTCATACTTGGATATTATTCACGGATGGGTCGCCTAATTTTTGTGGAAGTGGCACCGATGTAATTCTAAGAAACGGTACTGGCCTCGTAGTTGAAGTTTCTTTGAGATTCGAGTTTTCTGCCACTAACAACCAAGTTGAATATAAAGCAGTGATTATAGGAGTGACTTTGGCCGAGGAGATGGGTGTGGAAAACATCAAGCTACAAACGAATTCCTACTCAGTCGTCTCTCAAATCAGAAAAGAAGCCTAAGCTAAAGACACATTACTGCAACATACTTGAAACTAACCAAAGAGAAGTTGGCAAGGTTCAAAATATCAGATGTCACTCACATTCCCTGGGTGGATAACATTCGAGCAGATGTACTTTCCAAGTTATCAACTACAAGAAGTTTTGAAATTAATCATTTTTTTTTGTCCAAAAGACTATGAAGGGTTCGAGCATTGAAGCCACGAGAGACATAGTGCTATCCATAGACAATGCCGATAACGGGAGAGTCAACCCTGTAGAAGATATCCCCGAATGATGGATTCTCAATCCCGCAGACGACAAGGACTCATCACTTTCAAGTCCAAGAGAATTGTCTATCAGCACATCTCATGTGTTAACTATAATGACACACAAGGTAAGGATCATGACGTACCTTAAGAAGAATGAAAACAAAGAGAAAACGAAAAGATTGAAGTTGTTGGAGCATGCGAACACAAGAATGAACTAAGGAAGGGAAGACATATTCCACAAGATAAATTAAACAAAATAAATGTTTAGAAAGCAATAAGTTCCTTTATAACAAACTAGCAACAAACACATAATCTATATCAATAGTGGGGAAGAAATTTAAAGGTGATGGACGCGCTCAAGCGCCCTAGATGAGGGAACCACATCTTAACCTGTAGACCTAGAGTCATTTGTATGAAAAGACCTGCATAATGGAAGAACATTTAATGTATTTTTTTTCATTACTTTTAGACTTGATCCATGACTTTCTTGCTTCTCGCTACGGTCAGACATCATCACTAAGGGTCAACCATGACTTTGAAAGACTTCTCGGCTAGCATACCCCCGACAAGCCTTATGGCAATTGTTATGGGTTGGCCAAAGATCCAATACGAGGGTCCAACCATGCATAAGCTCAATCAAGATTATACAACATATATAGTTAACACACGTGAGATTCAAGGTACACTTTTCTGTTCTCCACTTTTATTATAATTATCTTGGACTTAAACTGACTTGGACGTTGGACTGTTAACCTTGCAAGTCTATCCCTCGTGCCATCATACCGAAGATTAGCATCGTCGATTCCAGAGTTCTACATCATCAATCAACATTAATTCTAATTCCATAACGAAACATGTTTCATTCACTAGAACAAAAAACTACAAATATCAGATTCATATATTGCAATGAAATTTTTTAATCGCTTTATAAATTACAGACGTATTTCTCATATTATGATCGACAATAAACTTTTCCACGTATATTTTCTCGTATTTACAATAATAACGCACATTTATACCATCATTGTTTTAATAATTTAAATTTAAATGAATGTCATAAATTATAGTGGAACACATATTTAACTAATCAAAAAATGATGCACATTTTGTTTTTATTTTTATGTTAATAACTCGCTTTTCTAGTGTATGTTTTTATGTTTGCCGAACCACACTGGTCGGTTGGGCTAGTTAGAACGGGAATCGATGGGTAGAGAAGTATGGTAATTTTATCGAACTGTAGTTACCATCGAACTGTCGTATCTCAATTTCGTCCGAACAGTTCAATTCAATCCAAACTCAAGCATATTATTTGGAAAAAAAAAACTAGCGCATTTCTTTATTTCTGTTTGAAAGTATCAAATCTGATAATTTTTCATAGTCGATGAATCTTAATTGGGTGCAAATTTGACAAGTACCACTTGTTGGTTAGTGGTCCTTTTGTTTTCTCACTTTTATTTCATTTTTTCTACGCAAGCATCATCACAAAATTGTCATTCTTCTCTGATTTAGTTTGTTTATTCTAGTAATAATAATGAGAATATAACTTATTTCTATGTACATTATTTTGTGGTTACAACAATTAAATAAATAAAATGGGACTAATTTTCAACCATTTATAATCAAGTTTCTTTTAATAAAAATAAGAAAAACTACAAAATTTCAAAAGATAAGAATGTGTACTCTCTCTTTTTTCTCACATTTTTCAGCAACCATTACACACTCCACTTTTTCATGACCTCACAAAATCAGAATTATTTTAAAAAATTAATTCCATTACCAATTGCACTAACATTGACAGCTCATTCATATTACACACAAACAAAAAAATTTATCATCCAAAAAAACCTAAATTTTTTACTATAAATTAGATTGAATGTTAGAGGATTGAGGCAGCCACCATTGAGAGGAAGAATTGAACAAAAGAATCAAGTTCCAAGGGACTACACGAAAACCATCCCTCCATCCTCTCCATCATCTACATCCCATTCACCTTAAAAATCTTCAACCTCAAGATCATCTAAACACAAAACCAAAGACATCCACTTCACTCACCCATCATCATTTTCAATCTTCCTCACTCCACCCTCATAGCCTCAACACAACAACTCACCTCTCCAAGTTGCAGAACCCACATAATCAAGCTCTATAACGCAGATTCCCTACAACCTTGAACCACTAATTCCTTCACCCTTGTTTCTCCATCACACTTGAAGGGATTTGTAACCTAAGGAGACAACAATAAAGGGGAAATACTTGCAAAAGGTAGTGTAGATAATCCCCCGTCTACTACTATCTTTGATGTGATGTTAGTTTAGGGCCTTAAGCACAACCTTATAAGCATTAGTCAATTATGTGACAAGGGTTATAAAGTGTATTTTTCAAAAGATTGTTGCCTAATTGAAAATAATGATAAAAAGGGAGATGTGTTTAAAGGCTTGAGGGTGAATAACATGTATATGCTTGAATTGAGTGAGGTATCATTGATTAGCAACAAATGTATTGTCACCATGAGTGAAGACTCATGGTTGTGGCTTAGGCGGTTGGCGCATGTCAGTTTCGATTTGCTAGAAAAGATAGTATCTAAAGACCTAGTAGTTGGCTTACCCAAAATCAAGTTTTCAAAGGATCACTTATGTGATGCGTGCCAAAAGGGCCAAAAGGGGAAACAAACAAAGATCTCGTTCAAATCTAAAAAACATTGTTTCAACCACGAGACCCCTTGAACTCCTCCATATGGACCTCTTTGGAAC